GCAGGGAGGCGTTGTGTTCTGTTTGAAGAATTTTGTAGAATGTTGAGAGTTGTTTTCTTTTTACATTACGGGTTATGCAGTGAGTTTCAAAGTCAGAATGGGTTCTAGACCCCGTCAGGAGACTAGCGTTAGCTCTTAAGAAGTGGGTGATTTGTGCAAATTGGAACAGGTGGACCAGGCTCGGGAGGGATTTTATGGTGTTACCGTCTAGTAGAGATCCTAATCTGAGGTATTGTGAGTCAGTGGACCACTTGAAGTGTAAGTATGGAGTGACTTGGAATCCTGTCGGAAAATCGGGTTACCAGTTAGAGGATATAGGGGGGATGGAAGGGGGGAAATATCTGTGGCCTCCCTTGTGCACTTCCATATTTGGAGTGTGGGGAGGATGGTGGGGTGGTTTGCGTTTTGGGCCAACAGCTCCCATGGGTTTGCCTGTTGCCACGGAACTGTACGAAGAGGGATTCGAAACATGAAGCTTTATCTTTGTGTCCATTGCCTGACCTGTGGAGAAGCAGCTCATTCGTATATTCTAGAGAGCATTGTGGCTTTGTAGTATCTTTCTATGTGAGGGACTCCCAGGCCCCCGCCGGCCTTATACCTTGTCAAAACTTCATATGGGATTCTTGGCTGTTTGTGAGCCCAGGTGAAGGTATTGAAGAGTCGTCGGAGCTTAGTGAAAAAGGATTGCAATGGGTAGGGTTTGGAATAGATATAATATTTTAGGGAGTGTGTTCATTTTGAGGATGTTTATTTGACATAGCCAGTTAACGTGCGGTTTGTGCCATGTTGCCAGGTCCTTGGATATCGATTGGAAGAGTGTTTCGAAATTTAGATAGAAGGTAATGGCTGGGTTCACCGGTAGGCGGTTTCCTAGACATCTAGGATATCTGTCCAGGTAAAGGGGAATGTGGATTGCAGGTGAACCCTTGTGGATTCATCTATGCGCAATGGGAGAATTAAAATTTTTGAGAAATTGACTTGGAAATTTGAGAGTTTGTTATAGATGGAGATTTCTTCTAGGAGTGGGGCCAGAGATGTGCTTGGGGTGTCTATTATAAAAAAGAGGTCGTCGGCGAATGCTGAAATTTTAGATTCCTTTTGTTGAACTTGGATACCTCGAATGGCTTGGTTGTCGCTAAAGCGTTTTAAGAAGGGTTCCAGTATGAGAATGAAGAGAAGGGGGGACAGAGGGCACCCCTGTCTCGTGCCATTCCATTAATCCTGAGACAAGCCGTAGGAGATGAATAGATGGCCTGTATCCAATTCATCCAGTTGTGTGTGAAGCCAAGTTTTCAGAGTGTTGCAATTAGTTTAAGTCCAGTCCACCCTGTCGAACGCCTTCTTGGTGACGACAGAAAGGAGAAGACTGTCCGTGGGAAGGTGTTGCGCTACGTGTATTAAATTTAGTAGTTTGGTGGTATTGTGTTTGGCTTCTCTATTGGGGACAAATCCAGGCTGGTCTGGGTGTATCAAATTCTGAAGAATGGGTTTCAGACGGTTGGCTAGGATCTTTGTGAATATTTTTAGGTCAAGGTTTATCAGAGATGTTAAGCAGTAGCTGCC